AGAAACATTTCTAAGGCTCACAACATCTGTACAGAGAAGCTGAAGCAATGTGAGCAGGATGTGATAAGCAAAAGACTAGAGAAGATGACTGAGAAATATCTGGGTAGTACATGTAGAGTGTTTACTACAGTGTATCGTCTGGCACAAACGTGCAGAGCATTTTCATATAGAGAAGATCCAACTGAATTACAAATAACAAATGGTTTAGATTTGGGAACAGGGTTGCATTCATGTAAAACTGCAGTTGCAATAGTAGATTTCATTGCAAAAGACATCAGGAAACATTTATTTAGTAAAATTATTGAGAAAACTTGCAAAATCTGTTTGATAATTAATGAAACCTCAACAATATCTTTCAAACCAGTTCTTAAACTGTACTTAAAAGTTGAGGGTCCAGCTTTCTCACCAACCATTTTCCTTGAACTAGTAGAATTAGATAAACAAGATGCAGAGATGATATGTTGCTCGGTTATAGAAAGTTTGAATAAAGTTGAGTTTAATAGAAACTATCTGGAGAAACATTTAATTGGATTTTGCTCTGATGGAGCCAGAGTTGTGCTTGGGAGAAAATCTGGGGTAAGCACTAGGATAGCCACAGAGTTTCCAAATATTGTAATATGACACTGTTTAAACCATCGTCTGCAACTTGTTTTAGGTGATTCTATTAGGGAAATAAAGCAAACCAATCATTTTCAAATTTTTATTGGTAAAATATATTCTATTTTCCATCAATTGAATAAGAACCTAATTTGAACTTAACAAAATTTCCGAACAACTTGAGATTGAAATTATAAAAATTGGTAGTTTTTGGACCAAGATGAGCTGCCTGTAGTTTAAGATCAACCCTAGCTGTGTGGTGGGCTTATCTAGCACTACATCAGTTTTTCTGTTCAAATAAAAAATACTCCGGTATGGCTTCCCATCTTGGAAAACTCCTATTTTCTCACTGATTTGGCCTCGATGATTGATGTGCTAACTGAAATATCTCTCCTTTCTAATGCATTATTTTCTTAATTATTTCCTCTTCTGTTGGGATTTTTTCATTTCTCCAATTTTGTGCAAATACAATCCTAGCTGCTTATAAAATATTAATAATCAAATACTTTATTTCTTTATTATAAACCTCAGGCAAAATTCCCAATAAAAATGTCTCTGGTTTTAAGTCTATAGGTTGTTTTATCATCTTCTCCAGCCACATGTGTATTTTAGCCCAATACTTTTTAGGCTCTGTGCATGTCCACCACATGTGGTAATATGATCCTGGTAACTTCTGGCATTTCCAACACTTCGCTGACTTATCTTCAAACATCTGAGCAATTCTCATTGGGGATAGATGCCACCTGTAAAACAACCTATACAAATTCTCTTTATAGGCCATTGACATAGTTAATTTATAATTTCTAGACCCTAATATCTGCCATTTATCAAGATCTATTCCATATCCAAAATTTTCCCCCCACACAATCATTGTTTCTTTTACTTGTTCATCCTCTAACTTCACTCCTAATAGATAACCATATCAAAACTATATAGTTTTTATACAGAATTACTGAATTAGATAAAATATTAACAGCGGTGGAAGATAAAAAACGTATAGTTATTTACTATGCATCAAATTGGAAGAAGTACAAGTAAAGGAAACTGATAGCATGGAGAAAACATTTTGGTTACACAACTGAATTAGATAAATGGCAAAAATTGTGGGACAGGAATTACAAATTAACAGTATCAACTGCATATAAAGAAAATTTATATAAGATGTTTTATAGATGGCACCTTGTGCCAGCGTGTTTGGCAAGGATGTTTAAAGATAAATCGGCTAAATGTTGGAAGTGCCACCAGATATATTATCATAGGTGGTGGACCTGTTCAAAAGCAACAAAAAAAAGTGGACCAAAATACAAACAGGTTTGGTTTAGGAATGAGAGCTGCCCCTTTAAGGGAAGGCTTCATGGGAAATGTAGTTCATGTCACGTGGTCACATCCGCACTCCTGATTGGCCATTGGGTTAATCTCTGGTTGGGCAGGGGGAGAGTTTTGGCATTCTTGTCTGGACCCCAGGGGGGGTGGGGGGTTCCTTTTGCTCTCAAGCCGTGGTGGGATATAAAGACCGTCTCCTTTCACACTATTAAAGGCAAATATTGGACGTTGGATGAATCTCTACATAAACTGGGAGTTGTGATAGGAAGATACCTAATGAACAATACAGGGACTTGTGTGGAAGCCTCTGTGGCGTTTACAAAGCTGTTCTGGACGCATTCAGGAGCATGGGGCAGGAAAGTGAAAAGACGAGTCGGATTTCCTCTTAAATCTGTGAAAAGGAGCTTGATTCTGACTTCCTCTTACCCAAGAATAAACCTGAGTGGAATCCTTCTCTGAAATCAAAATGCAACGAAGGATTCAACCCCTGAATCTTTCTCTCTCTCTCTCTCTCTCTCTGAGCAAGAAACTTATAAAGCCCGTTTGAATTACCGGGAGGGGCCAGAAAACCCCCCATTTGCAAGAAAGATAGCGGCCTTTCCTCTCTGTCTCTCGCTGCATCTGCTTGTGTGCTGCTTCTGTGGCTGTGTTTGCAAACAAGAGGCTGATTCGAGTAAGGAAGCCGTATTATCTCCTGGCTCTTGAGTTACTAAAATGAAGAGTCGGTTCCTCTTTATTCACCTGGAAGGAGGAATCCGGCCCATGGAGGAAGCGGGCAACAAAAAAGGGGCCCATCCTTGCCTTGAGTTTTATGGCAGAGATCTCCATGGAGACGAGTCTTAAAGGCCTTTAGCCACCCTGCGTGTAAAAATCAGCCCCCCCCCCCAAAAGAGGAGTCTACATCTGTGAGGCTGCAGCAACTCAGTGCTCCGAAGGAAGGAAACCAAACCCAGCCTGTTGTTTTAACTTGGTTTGCAGACTGGGGAGGCATTCCCCTTTACTGGAATTTACAGGCAATCTCAAGTCTAAGGATGCCAGCCTATATCCCTCCACAGGGGGAAATCCGCCTGACCACAGTTTGCTCTAAACTTTAGTTTAAATCGCAGCATCCTTTGGTGACTACTCTTCCAAGCATAATTGCCTGCGATCAAGCTACCTGTTGCAGCACCCTCTGGGGGCTGATTAGCAAACTACAAGCCTGTATATATCTTTTCTAGCGCTTGCAACGCACCCTAGTGGCCCAACAAGTGTATTTCATCAGCATCTTCTACAGCTTGCAACACACCCTAGTGGCTAAAAAGTGAATTTCACTGAAAACTGCTCAATTTTCCAAAAATTCACCTTTTGCCAATTTAAAACATAGCATCTTCTTCGGCCATGGTAGATGTCTCTGCAGATGTCTCTAACATGCCAGAAGTGTCGAACCCTCCACCCAACCTTGACACAACGGTAGAACTCTGTGTCCAAAGCCCAGAATCAGATGTCCGAAATCCGGAAGGGACAAGGGCACCCCAGAAATCCTGTGCCTTGAGGCAGCAAAGAAAGCCTACTGAGGCCATGCGGTCCCACCCGAAGGATGAGGGGGCCACGTGCTCTCAATGCCATGAAGATTTATGGGGGCGATTACTGCCCCTCTACGATACGTCTGAAGACAAGCTCCCCCTCGAGCGCGTTCACTCGCTGGAGGATGAGATGGAGGGGCCTTTTGGACAGTGCAAAGGCAGGGAAAGCTGCCTCGTCTCCATCCAGTCGACGCTGGGAGAATCAAGCCTCCAAGAATACACTCAGTGCCTACTGGCGTCAAACAAAGAGCTCGAGGAGCGCTGTCCTAGTGGCAGAGATGCTCTCCACACTGTGGCCCAGGAGGAGAACACAGCAAGGGAGAAGGCCACGCCCGAAGAGACCCATCATTCAAATTTTGTTCACCAAAATGAACATGGTCGGCCCGCCCAGCAGCGAGAAGCACAATGGTTGTATACGGCATGGGAACACAACATCCTCAGGAAGTACTTCGAAGAAGACTATGAGCCGCCTCTGACATACGACCCTGACCATGTTGACGCGAATCCAAGGGGAGACCCCGATTGTGCCCGTAATGATACACCTCACCGTACCAACGCACCTTGCCAACAATCCCTATGCAGCCGCAGTAGATGGTCCAACATTCAGGAGAGAGTGGGCACTAGAAAGGGGAAAGCTGGACTTGGCAGATAGTGGCATGTGTACATTTTCTGACGAGCCAGGCAAAGAATATCGACTACGGAAGCCTATCGTCATGAGCAAACTTCAGGTCGCAAGGCTGCAGCCAGCTGAAGTGCTCGTACATTTGATAGCATGGCTGGGACCACAGTCTGCAGAAGTAGTAACGGACATCTACTCAAGCCGATTAGGAGACCCAGGCACCGCTCCTGAGTTAGCCTGGGAGACACTTGACAAGGAGTACGGTAGACTCGTTCTTGGCTCCTGTCCACAAGTTCCCCGACATCCGTCTCAGTGAACCTCACCAGCTAAGGGGATTCTCTTTCATCCTTCACCTGCTGCGGGCAGCACAAGAGGATCCCAACTTGCTGGGACTTTCTTGTCTTAACAAGTTCACAATGCAAAGCACAATCGTTCAAAAACTACCGCCGCCACTAGCTGAACAATGGATCGACTTATCCGAGGCCTTCAGGACCAAAGACCGAAGCAAAGAACCCCCGTTTGCTTTTCTCAAGGAATTTGTGGCCCACCAAGCGAAGTTGTACAGTGACCCTCAAAACCTCACCATGAGAGAAAACTGGATGCCAGGTGACCAAAAAGCCAACCGCAACTCTACGCCGTCCAAGGGTTTGGGGCGAACTGCAAAGGAAAAAAACCCTCACGTCCATGCGTAAAAGGGAGGTGGCTTCCTTGCCCACGAAGAATAAAGTTAAGCAACTGTCAAAGAAAACTCAGCGCAAACTTCTGAAAGCAAAGAAAGACCCAGCTTGTCCATTCCACAAGTCCTCGCACAGGCTGAACAGGGGCAGAGAGTCTGGCAAGGAAGGCCTTGACTGGGGGTGTGGAGGGGTTACAACGCCTGCTACAAGTGTTGTGGGTCTATGGAGCACGTGGCCAAAGACTGCATAGCTGAGGGGCGATGCTGGCTATGCAAAAGCAACAAGCACCCAGGCGCCCTGCATCCAGACTCTGAGCCGCCGCAGCAGACGGGCCCCAGCCCTCCCTCGACCCAGGAGCCACAACGGGCTACCAAAGCGCACCTGGGGGTGGCAGCGAGTGTCGACGGCAGGGCAGAATGTGGCGACTCCCCTCCCCATCGCTCGTGGAATCAGATCTATTTAGCTAACATCTACCCCGATGGACGCCCAGAGGAAGCTGTGAAGATGTGTGTCATGGTGCCTAATCAGAGCGATCGGTCGCTGGCCAGGTCCACATTCTTCGACCTCTTTGATGTCCAAAAGGAAGAAGTGAACTTTATGATATCAATGTGCACCGGATCACGAAGCCCAGTGGGGAGGAAAGCTACTGGACTCTGTATAGAGTCATTAGATGGGACCTCCTCGTTCTCACCACCGCCCAGTGGGATGGGATACCAGACGACCGCAGCAAGATTGCAATACCAGAGGTAGCAAGCAACATACCTCACCTGAAGCACCTGGCTCATCCCTTTCCCGCTCTAGATCTGGAAGCAGAGATTCTACTCTTGCTGGGAGTAGGTGCCCCCGATGCTTCAGCTTGCGTTGAAGTAGTCAGAGGCCCAAGAGGCTCCCCACTTGCCCTCAGAACAGACCTGGGATGGGCAATCGTAGGCATAGTCTGTGGCGATCCGCTGAAGACCCCGACCCAGGTGGATGTCTTCGTGCTATCCATTCAAGAATGGCAGAGCGTCCCACCTGACACCAGGCCAAGGACGCACCTCGCTTTCGACAACGCCTTCAACAATCCGCCCCGTCTTAGGAGCGACAGTGTTCCAGACCAGCAAAGAAGACAACGACTTGGCCCTGTCGGTAGAGGATTCCTGTGGCTCATGAACTGAACCTCAAAGAAGGGGACCTGGTCTTGTTAAAGGACAAGGATGCGCGTTGGAACTCGTGGCCCGTGGGACTCGTGCACCAGGTCTGACCCAGCTCTGGTGGACTAGTCCACCAAGTCAAGGTCCAGATCCTGAGGCCACAAGACTCTTACAGACTTTCACTAAGAAATGCTACCTCAGATCGGTCACCGACCTGGTGCTCATGCTGAGAAAGGCTGAACCTGAAGATTGAACCTCTAGATTTGCATGCTTTGCGTCTACCTCATTGTTGCATTGTCTGATGCTATGTTACTGTTTATTTTAGTTAATACTTAGTTGGTAGTGGAATTTATAATTCCAGGCGGGGAGTGTAGTGTGCTGGTTAGACAGTACATAGTTGGTTTAGGAATGAGAGCTGCCCCTTTAAGGGAAGGCTTCATGGGAAATGTAGTTCATGTCATGTGGTCACATCCGCGCTCCCGATTGGCCATTGGGTTAATCTCTGGTTGGGCCGGGGGAGAGTTTTGGCATTCTTGTCTGGACCCCAGCGGGGGTGGGGGGTTCCTTTTGCTCTCAAGCCGTGGTGGGATATAAAGACCGTCTCCTTTCACACTATTAAAGGCAAATATTGGACGTTGGATGAATCTCTGCATAAACTGGGAGTTGTGATATGAGGATACCTAATGAACAATACATGGGCTTGTGTGGAAGCCTCTGTGGCGTTTACAAAGCTGTTCTGGACGCATTCAGGACATATTGATTTAAAAGCAGAAATATTTATTTACTGGGGATCCTACCCTAAGAATATAGTAAGGAAAATGCATATTTAGTTATTCATATATTGACTGCAGCTAGAACTGTAAATTTGCACAAAATTGGAAGAGTGAAGAAATACCTACAGATGAGAATGTGATTAGGAAAATACTAGAAGGTGCAGAAATGAATCGATTAACATTGGCAATTAAGGAGAAAGAGCAAACCGAATATTATATGGAATGGGACCTATTCTATATGGTTAAATAATAAAAACTGAAGTTAGAAATAAGGAAACAAAATAAAGATGATGTGTTAAAAGAGATAAGTTAATCTGATGACTAATACATTGAATGCTACTATTTTAGTATTGGATAATCCATGAGTATAATGAATAGATGGACATTATTTTGTTAAATATTGCAGAATCAATATGTAATGGAGGATGCTGTAATTTTGATTATTGTTTAACAAAGATGTTTGTACCCAGACAACACACCATTTAACTGAAGATGAAATGATTGTATTTTTTTTTTAAATGTCAACCCACAACTTCTGGTGGCCAGTGGTTCCACTGGTTAATTGTTCTGTCGGAAGTTTATCCCCAGTTTCAAGTTGTTTCTCTCCTTGATTAATTTCCATCCATTGTCCTGCCCTCTGGGGCTCTGGAGAATAGCTTGAGCCCCAAATCTTCTTGGGGGCAGCCCCTCAGCTCCTGGAAGGCTGCTCTCCTGTCTCCCCTGGTCCTTCTTTCCTCTAGACTGGCCAAACCCGAATCCTGCAGCTGTTCTTCAGCCTCCAGGACTTTACTCCTGTTAGTTGCTCTTCTCTGCACTTTTTCCAAAGTCTCAACGTCCTTTTTCTGTAATGCGAGGACCAAAACCAGACGCAGAATATTCCAGCTGTGGCCTTACTGAGCCTTTTAAAAGTGGCACTAATAACTTCGTGTGATTTTGATCCCGTGCCCCTGTTTATACAGCCCAGGATCGTATTCGCTTCTTTGGCTGCTGCCGCACACGGCTGGCTCGTGTTTAAGTGATGGTCCACTGGGACTGCAAGGCCCCTCTTGCAGCGACTGTTTTGGAGCCAGGTATCTACCTATTCTATTCTTACACCTGGTCGTAAGTGGAGGACTCCCTCTGGACTATGAAGCGGAAGCCACACCCAGGAAGCAAACAGCGTTTAAAGAAGCAGAGAGCAGCCAAACCTTCCTGTCGCCACCCCAATTAAAGTGACTCGTTACGGGGGAGGGGCTGTCTCCCAGCCCGCCCCAGAGGGTTTGGGAAGGCTGGGTGAAGGACAGCCTTCCTTGGGACCCCCCAGCAGAGGTGGGATTCAGCCGGTTCTGACCGGTTCTGGAGAACCGTTAGCGGAATTTTTGAGTAGTTGGGAGAACCGGCCAATCCCACCTCTGACTGCCCCTCCCCCAATCTCTTCTCTGCCTCCATTGAGTCCCAGCTGATCGGCTGGGTCTCCTTTGGCTGCCCTGCCCAGGAGAATGGAGCTGGAAAGCAGGTTAGTGCAGTGGTCCCCAACCTTTTTTGTGCCACGGCCCGGTACCAGCATCACAAAATCATCCGCGGCCCGGTACTGGCATCAGCACGCATGGCAAGGTGAGCTGAGCGACCGGCCAGCCAGCCGTCCCCCGCTTCTCCCTGCCACCTTCAACTCCTCCTTTGTACCTGTGTCGATGGGCTTCGCGACGGCTTCGGGACGGCCGCTCGGCTCGCCTTGCCATGCGTGCTGAAAGAATCCTCGCGCCTTAGTTTTGTTCGAAGCCGCCCCCCCCTCGATGAAACTAAGGCGCGAGGATTCTTTCAGCACCCAAACGCCGCTTTCTACCTGGAAAAGCTCACCGGAAGCACTTTTTCATCAAAACAAGATGGCGGCACCCAGCAAACCGACGGCCCAATAGAAATTGTTCCACGGACCGGTACCCGTCCCCGGACCGGTGGTTGGGGACCCCTGGGTTAGTGGGTGGGGAGGGGAGGGGGATTTTTCAATGTACCCTTCCCCTGCCACACCCACCAAGCCACACCCACCAAGCCGCCATGCCCACAGAACTGGTACTACTTCCGGGGGGCCCAGCAGAGCCTGAAGCGGCTCCTTCCCGGCTTCTCCTGCCAACTGGACTTCCGACAACCCCCCCATCAAAGTCCATCCATGCTCCTTCCTCTTTACCTGCCAGCGATAAGGGGCTCCGAGCCAAGCCTGCCTTTCCCAAGAGGCCATTCTGGCCCGAAAGCTCTCCGCCCTGAGGGCACTGTCGGACTCTCATTTCCCCTTGACAGAAGATGCTCCAGGCAGTGGCCCATGGGCAGGAGAATCCCTGGGACAACACACAAGGAACACCCAGTTCTCCCAACCCTGCCCTGCCCTGCCCACAAGGGGAGGCCACCTGGCTACCCTCGCTGGGGGGTGGAGGACGGAGGGAGGCCCACAGGACACCTGGGGTCCACCTGGGGTGATGGGCCCCTCGGTGGAAGAGGATCAGCAGGCAAGGGGGAGGGGAGGGGAGGGGAGGGGGCACCTTTGGGCCGAACCTCCTGGAGAAGAAATTATCTGGGGGCAGAAGGAAAGCAGATGATTTAGCCAAGTAGAAGCCCTCTTCCTTGGTGCTCTCTGAGCTTGGTGGCCTTCTTGCAGACGTTTCATTACCACACTGGGTAACATCATCAGTGCTAGAAGGGAGCAGGAGGAGGAGGAGGAGGACTGTGGGGTCCTTGGTGCTCTCTGAGCTTGGTGGTTTCCTTGTAAACTAGGTCAGGTCATCCATGAGAACCTGCTGGTGGTTGGATGCAGCCCCGGAAAGGAGGGATTTGCACCCTGGGAAACCCGCAGCTGGCTTTCTTTGGAAGGTGCCCCCTCCCCCTGCTCCCCCCCCCCCCCAACTCCTTCCTCTCTGCTCCTGGCCTGCCTCTCCTCCCTTTGCCCCCTCCCCTGAGCAGGGCCAGTTGCCAATTCATTTTATTGTTTCTTTTAGTGCCCATTTCTCAATTTCTGTTTCAATTTATTGTTTCCTTTAGTGCCCAATTTCCCTTTCTATATCTTTGTGTTTTCTTGGTGCTGGGCAAGTAAACACCTCAGTTTGCTTAAGTGGCGCTGGCTCCTTGACAAGGTATTACCAAGGTGTGGTGGGAAACATGCCAGCACCGTAAATCATGCTAGTCTGTGGGCCATAAAAGGCAGAGCTTTGATAGTTTCTCAGGAGAATTAATTCAAAGGTGCAATCCGGGTTGGCTAATAGGGCGATTGCTAAATGGATTCACCTGGGCTTGGATGACCCCCCAAAGGCCCAGAGATGGAGGGGGGGTCCCACCTGGAGGGCCACGGGGCTGTGGGGGTGGCAATTCTCTGATCAAGGATGCGCCCCACATTTGCACAGCTGGGAGGGTTGGCTGATACTTTAGAACAGGAGTGGCCAACCTTGAGACCGGTGGACTTCAGCTCTCAGAATTCACTGTCCATTTCACTCATCTTTAAATAAGTTTGCATTTCATATTTCAATTCATTAATTCAATATCATTTCATCCACACATAGGTTTTCAATTCATTATCCCCTACTATTTCCATTTTCAGCTTACCACCTATTTTATTTTACATTACACATCATTATTATCCTTAATTTCCTCTAAGCCGATATATAATAAACAATCTAAAAAGAGTAAGAGTAAAATAAAGTCAATATATTTAGGATCCACATGGTATTTTTCATTCCCCTACTTTAATCATAATAAAATACTCTCATTGTACACTTCTTTTTTTTAAAACAAACTTTATTGATTACAAAACCAAAATATCAAACAAACACAACACACAGAAGAAGAAGAAAAAAGAAATAGAAAAAAAGAAAATGATTA